GTGAAAATCCAATGAGATACCAATTCTACCTTAGATGCCATGCTTAGTGTGTTATTCTCCAGTCCCTTCTCAGTGCTCTTATATCATCCAAAAGGGAAATACTCAAGGTCTGTGCCCTGAACCACTTCCACTATCTCTCCCCAGGCCAACCAAGACAAAGTAATTGCAGACAAGCAAACACACACACACACACACACACACACACACACAATCTCCTTTAAGTTGAATATTAAATAAATGGTTGAAAGATCTTGATAAAGTGATGTGGACAATGTATTCTTAAAATTATTCAGATACACAAATTGTATGATTCCATTTAAGTAAAGTTCTAAGAAATGCAAAGTAATGTGCAGGACAGAAAGCATATTGGTAGTTGGTTGAGGGACTATGAAGGGGTAAGGGAGAAACTCTTAGGGGTGAAAGATATATTCATTATCTTCATTGTGGTGATGACTTCGTGTGTGTGTGTGTGTGTGTGTGTGTGTGTGTGTGTGTGTGTGTGTATGCAAAAACACTTCAATGTACACACTTTAAATAGGTGTAGTTTATTCTATATCAATTATGCTTCAAAAAAAAGCTCTTAAACTATTAAAAATTATTTAGATACAGAAAATTTACTGTTAATATATTATTTGGAAGAAAAAGGGTACAAAAGAATATGCAAAGTATGGTTTTATTTAAAAAATATACTTGTAGGAAATGCCTAAAAATGTACACTGAACTGATATTTAAAAAAAATTTTTTTTAACATTTATTCACTTTTTGAGAGACAGAGACAGAGCATGAGCAGGGGAGGGGAAGAGAGAGAGAGGGAGACACAGAATCCGAAGCAGGCCGCAGGCTCTGAGCAGTCAGCACAAAGCCCAACGCAGGGCTTGAACCAACAAACTGTGAGATCAATACCTGAGCCGAAGTCAGATGCTTAACAGACTGAGCCACCCAGGTGTGCCTAATCTGGTGTTTTTCAAAAAAAATGTTTATTCATTTATTTTTGAGAGAGACAGAAAGCACAAATGGGGGAGGGGCGGAGAGAGAGGGAGAGAGAGGGAGAGAGAGGGAATCTCAAGCAGGCTCTGCACATTCAGTGTGGAGCCAGATGGGGGCTCAAACCCACAAACCGTGACATCATGACCTGAACTGAAGTTGAGCACTTACCTGACTGAGTCACCCCGCTGCCCTGGTATGCAAAACTGTTAAGAGTGCTTCCTCTGCAAGACAGATTTAAGTGATACTTTATTTTGAATGATTTATTATTCAATTTTACAAATATCTACTGAGCATATACCATGTGCTGGAAATGGCAATAGGGTTAGGGAATATAGTGGGGAAAATCTGCACAATCTCCTGCTCTTCCTAATTTATATTCTTAAGCAAGAAAGAATGTCAAATGATGACAGTTACAAGGAGGGAAAAAAAAAACAGGGTGATGTTTCACATATGCTGTTACACTAAATGAGGAAGGTCTTTCTAAAATGGCAACATGTGAACTGTGAACAGGATGACCAGAAGGAGCCCTCTATGAAAAACATCTAGGAGAGAATTTTCTAGGCCTTCATGAGGAGTCAGGAGTTTATTCCGGGTGCAATGGCAAGAGGATGGAGAATCCTTTGGGAAGAGGTGGAGATGAAACACCCACTTTGGCTACAATGTAGATGTGAGGCTAAGAGAGAAAGGTAGCAGAGAGAGATGGACATTGCAAGGGTGTAGGTGAAGGAGGATAGGATGATGGCCGCAACCTGCAGGTAGCGCGTGACGGAGAAGAAGAGGTACGGGCACTGCTTCAGCAACAGCTCATGTGATTTACGGACAGATTTTGTTATATACGCATATCTGTAGGCCTTTCTTTTCTCCAGTGAGAAGATATTTATTCTGTTGTCAGAATAGCTAAAGAGCTCTGTTCACTATTTATGTTTTGAAAGGAGGATACTTTCTAAGGACAATGAAAGACAGTCAATTCTGACACTTTGGTTTCCTTAAGTGACGACAAGAAAGCATGGAATTTAGCTCACTGATTTTTCAATATTAAAATAAGACTTTTGAGGTTATCATTACTTTTTAAGCTTTCTGTCAAGTATATCTTTGAGTTGGTATCATATGGCCATTGATTTTCAGATACGCTGGCTAAAAATTTGCAAAAAAGTTCAATTCCTGCACGTGGGTCTAAGAGATGTACCTGTATCCCCTTTCAAGTCTTCTGAAACACGCTTTTCAATTCCTTTATATGACTCTAATTCTACACCAAGGAAACTTATGTCAGGATATTTTATGCAAAAAATCAATTATTCTACCCATGATCTTAAAATCTGCTCTCTTGGGGCGCCTGGGTGGTTCAGTTGGTTAAGCGTCTGACTTTGGCTCAGGTCATGATCTCACAGTTCATGAGTTGGAGCCCCACATCGGACTCTGTGCTGACAGATCAGGGACTGAAGCCTGCTTTGGATTCTGTGTCTCCCTCTCTCTTTGCCCCTTCCCGACTCACACTCTGTCTCTCAAAAATAAATAAAATAAATAAAATAAAATAAATAAAATAAAATAAAATAAAATAAAAGTAAAGTAAAGTAAAAAGTAAAGTAAAATAAAATATTAAATAAAATATTAAATAAAATATTAAAAACATTTAAAAAAATCTGCTCTCTTGTACCATATGTTGCTTAGCCAGATCATTTATATATTTACAGAAATATCACTAATATAGAAGGCTTGGCAAGCTTTATCCTACAGGCTATTTTTTGGTGGCCCTCAAGGTAAGAACATTGTTTCATTTTCAAAGAGTTGTAAAGAAGAAAAATAAAAGAAGTCTAAGATATTTAAATATCTGGCCCTTTACAAATAAAGAGGTCATCACCAGTAGAAGGAAATTGTAAGTCAAAACTAGTGACTTAAAAAGTTTAATCCAGAATAAGAAGATTGGTACACACACACACACACACACACACACACACACACACACACACACACACACACACACACACACACACTGAAATATTATGCAGCCATAAAAAGAATGAGATCATGCCATTTGTGACAACATAGATGGACTTAAGAGGGTATTCTGCTTAGTGAGCTAAGTCAGATGAGAAAGACAAATACCATATGATTTCACTCAGATGTGAAATCTGAAAAAAACAAATGATTAAACAAACTGACAAAAAACCAAATCATACCTATAAATACGGAGAGCAACTCCGTTTGTCAGAAAGCTGGTGAACCGGGATGGGCAAAATGAGTGAAAGGGATTAGAAGATACAGGCTTCCAGTTATGGAATGAGTAAGCCACAGGAATAAAAAATACAGCATAAACAATATAGTCAATGATATTAGAATAATGTTGTACAGTGTCAGATGGTAGATACACTTGTAGTGAACATAGAGTAATATATAAGCTTGTTGAATCACTTTTTTTAACCTGAAACTAATAGAACATTGTGCCAACAGTACTCAAAACAAGGTTAATACAGGTAAGATTAATCTAAAGTACAACTAGTAACTCAAAAGATGATTTAACCAACTTGCCAGGCTGGGAGAAATAAATACAGATCGAAGCAATGCTTCTAAGAGTGATTTCTTAAATGCTGGAAATTCACTATTTCCATTCAGTTCAACATGGACTCATCACTCAGCCCTCCTTATTATAATCTTATCTCATGATTCCTTCTAGGATGTAATTTCTTCAAAGATGAGAGATACTATAAATATAGTACTCTTTGTACTTTAGTGCTAACTCAGTGTGCTACGAGTTCCAGTTAAATTTTATAATCACTGATTGGGTTGCTGAAGTGATTTTCTCTTTTTGATAATTTTAACATCATGACTCCCTCCGTTTTACTAGGGAGGGAGATTTACAAGGAAGTAAACTTACTGGCAATTCAGTAGTTGCATCCAGTTTAACAGAATTCAGTAGTTTAGACAGCATTCAGATAAAAGTACCCACTGCATAAAGTTGCTGAATTTCATTAATTATGCCCATTGATGCACGCCATGCAAATAACACTTTGGGGAGCTTTCACATTACTCTTTGTTTGCAGGTGGGCATGGACCAATCCCAGAAGAGCAAATGCACTAACAATCCTTTTCAGACAGCAAATTCCACCACCCCACCAAAAAGACGAACACAGAAACAAAGCCAAAGAAACAACCAACTGAGAAGAAAAAAACACTCAAAAGCAAAAATTAATTCTGATCGTATTGCTTAATAAAAGCAAACCAGAAATCACTTCTATCGTGACAAAAATAACAGATGAGAGAAAAAGCTTAAGTAGGAGACTCTGGTTAATAGGAACATTTTGGAATTCGATTTCCTGCACTGGAGTCCCTGGTCTACTACTTCGTAAGTGTGTGGCTTTGAACACAGTACCTCACTCAGGCTCAATTCTTTAATCTGTAAAATTGAGGCGACAATAATTGCCAACCCTATGGACAAATCTGTGGATTAAATTAGGTAATGGTAATGCCTGCAAAGCAGCAAAGTACATGGAACAGAGAGCATTAATACCAGATTAATACCAGACCAGAGTAATTAGTACCATTTCAGAGCATGGTTGCTGATTACCGAATTGATTCTAACCAACCTTGGCTACCTTGTCCAAATTCTTAATGAAAAACAAAATTCTAGTTCTTTACTTCTGTGTTTCTAAAGATAGTATCTAAAGCACTTGGCAATTAAAAAATGATAGCAATACTTTTGGGATTGGTATAGTACCTAGAGCACATCCACATATATTTTCTTGGCTTATTTGCAGCAGAATCTAGAAAAGTTCATTACCAGAGGTTATTACCCTCTTTTTGGCAGGAATAGAGAAAGGCTCGGAGAGGTCATCATCATCGTTTACGGTACCACAGCAAGTGCTTATGCTTGAGACTTCAGATATGAGCATATCTCACTACCTATATTACCATTCCTTCCCATAATCCTCTATACTCTGCTGATGGCTGATGATAAATTTCCCCAGATCTAGAGTCAAGAAAAACAACGATTCCTTTTTCCTGCAGCAGAAACTTACTGGTCGGGACTGGATTTCTTTGGCGTAGAGAGGTTGCAAGAATTCGGAGTCTCCTTCTAGTTTTAGACCTTTGTCTGTGATTCTCAAGTTCCCCATTCCATCCTGAAATAGAAGCACAGAGATAACACAGAAAATGCAATTAGCCAATATCTCGAAAAAACCTCAGGCTTTCAAAAACGGAAACAAAGTTATTGCCCCCCCTTTTTTTGAGAGGGTGAAATGAGAGGAGGTCCAATAAAACACTAGGAAGTATTGTTCAATGCAATTATGCATATTACCCTCTTTGCTCACTTATTCTGAGAAAATTCTATTCCAAGCAATCTGTAATGCCCCCTAGTCATTTACTAGCACAGATGAAGGAAGCCCTTTTGCTAGGAAGTGCAGAAAGAAGGGAGCCAGGAGGTGAGTGGGATAGAAGAAAAAGATAATTCCCCAGGTTAAAGAAAAAGTGCCAGTTTCCAAAACTTTATGCAGAAATTGTTAACTGGTAGCCTCATGGTCGAATCCAGTTTTTGGACACGGTATGTTTTTCTCACAAAATATTTAAGAAGTCAAATTAGTTACCAACATTTTTACCAATATTTTATTATGGAGATATTAAAATGTATACAAAAATAGAAAGTGTAAATAGCACACACCTGTGTACCTGTCATTTGTCTTCAACAATGATCCATTTATGGCTATCATTATTACTTTACCCACCACACTCATCTCATTTGGTTAAATATAACCATCACTACCACCATCACAACAAAAAATAAATAAGATCATTAATATCATTTAATGCTCAGTGTCAATGTTCAAATTTCAGTCATTTAAATTTTTTCTCCTTACATTTGCTTATTTGGATCAAGTTCCCTGCTGTAATTAGTTGGTACATGAAATACTAGGTCATCTCCTGAAAGTCTCCTAAGTCAGTCAGTTTCTCTCTCACATCCATACACATATACATACTTTATTCGATAAAGAAAACATATCATTTTTGTGATAGTATTGCCCAGAGTTTACATTTTGTTGAGCATTCCATAATTTCACACAATGTGTTCTTCTGTCTCCTGTATTACCTATAAATTGGTAGTTAGATCAAGAGGCTTGAAAACTCAGTTTTATAGGAAGAACACATTCTAAGAAATGGAATATATTAGTATTCTATTGCTACTATCACAAATAACCATGAACTCAGTGGCTTAAAACAACACAAATTCATTATCTTACAGTTTTGTACATGTCTGATTCAGGACTCAAAGGGCAAAAATCAAGGTGCCAGCAGGTCTGTTGCACCCCTTCCTGGAGGTTTTAAGGGAGAATCCAGTTCTTGACTTTTTCTAGGTTCTTGAGGCTGCCCACACTCCTGGGCTCATGGCCTCTTTCATCTTCAAAGTTCACATTGACTGGATGACTCTGACAATGAATCTTCCAACTCCCTCTTCCACTTTTAAAGATCCTTGCAATTTCACTGAGCACACCTAGATAATTCAGGACAATCTCTTCATTTTAAAGTCATCTGATTAGCAACCATAATTCTATCCATAATGTTAATTCTCTTTTGCCATGCAATGTGACATATTCAGGGGTTTTGAGATGGGGACAATGACATCTTTGAACTGGAGGGTATTTTTCTAATACATGCTCTGTCGGGAGACATACAATGTCTTCCATGGTGATATCATCAGCCACTGGTGATCTTTGCCCAGAGGATCTATTACTTCACTAGAGATTTCAAATTGGTGATAAACTAATTCTATTATTTCTTAATTTATTAGTTGGGGTATTCTATCAGGAAAAAGTGCATTTCATCAACTGTTACCCTAAATTATGGTTTACAAAAACCTGAAAGTTGCTTGATTTTTCCTCCTTTATTTATTGATCCTCAAAATATTGGTCACCTACTATCCTCCAAAGATAACCAATGAGTGCTTTTTTCTTTTCTAAGAATCATTATGGACATTTTTTACTTGTGTCATTCCAGTGTAGTTTTTATTGCTATTGAAGTTCTAACTGTGCTACACTTGCTCAGCAGGAACCTCTTCAAGTTGGTGTCTAGGTCATTTTAATATGACCCAGTAGTCTTTTATGGACCTTATGCTTCTGGTATGACAAAATTATCTAGAGTTATTTCACAGAACATCCTGTCCCAGGCCTGGAACCAGTCATTTCTACTAAGAACACCTGTGGCAGCTTTTTGTAGTAAGTAGTAATTAGAAACCACAAACTGAGAGCTTCAGGTGCTCATTGCTACTGGGTTGATCCTTGTTTCTGTGGACAGAGCTGGAGAATAAGTTCTGAATGTTGTTGTTTTTTTAATAGAATAAACTACGAATTCTCATTAAACTTCAATTCAAATTCAGGACTTGAATGTTTCCATTGAATCTCATAGATCTGACAATGTTATTACCTTTCTTTCAAACCAAAAATCTGTGTTCTCAGTAACAAGAAAATGATTACTCATTTGATTTAACCCACAATATACAGTCACTACTATTCTAACATTATGATTAAGCAGAGCAATTGAAAATTTGTCTTAAAACAACTCTACAGCACATCCTACTAGGAAGGTACGGTCAAATGACTGGATTTCAAAACCACTTGAAACAATTCCATTATGTATAGTTAGGTTATGCCACCAACCTGCTGTCTGGTAAGGTTTAATCATTTCATTCCCCACCACCTTTCAATTTTTCATGAATGTTTTAAGGTTCAATTTTGTATTATAGTTCTGTGAACTGTTAGGTGGGACCAAAGTCAAATCTACAAAACAAGATGTATTCAAAGAAGTCTAGCTTCTTTCCTTGTCCTTCCACCATGTTTCCTTTTTTCCAAATAAGTGTGGGTGTGTATCTGTATCACTCAGTGTTCTCCAGGGAAACAGAACAAACACACACACACACACACACACACACACACACACACACACACACACACACACTCATTTTAAAGAGCTGGCTTTAGCAATTGTGGAGGCTGACAAGTTTCAATATCTGCAGTTAGCAAGCCAGAGACCCATTTTAATAAAACAATATACACGTACATATATAAAAACACATACACACACACACACATACTTTTTAAAAATTTATTCCTACATTTTCCCAAACACATGTGAAAACTGAAAGATTTAAATAAAAATTCCAGGTTTTCAGCTTCCTGTGAAGCTGGAAGCCTTGGGAAACCTGAGCCTGCCTTCTCTCATAGTCACCACTGGCTGGAAGTGAGTAGCTGACCTAGGCTATGCTAGGGACCATATACTCTTCAGTTTGCCAGTTCACACCCAGCCTATTTCACTAAGTTACATTTTCTCAGATTCCTCAAGTTCCTCTTGAGTCTACCATTTCTTCTCTCTGGCACTGCCACATGGTCTGTCCATCAATATATTCAGGACAGACACCACATTGGGGGGTATTGAATGACCATGTGGGAAATGGGCACTTTTCCCCATCCCTCCTTCATAACGGCACTTCAGCCTGTGGATGAGAACAGATTTTTCAGGTCAATATTGTCCTTTCATGGATAGCATGCCATCTGTATATTTCTATTTTTGGTACTTGCGGGGACAGCTCTGCCAAAAGGGTCCCAGACTGGGCATTCAAACCCAGAGTGAGAAGCAATGGGCTGAGGGTATGTTCATATCACACTAGCAGCAGGTAGAATCCACAACCAAAGAAAAAAAAAAGAAAAAGTTAACACCCACCCAATCCCCACCCCCCAAAGTATATGTCAATTATCTTGTTTTGGTTTATACTTGATGATTTTTGTTAGTTGGAGAAACAGACCTTTTCATAGAAACACATACTAAACCTGACATCTATAAACCAACTAAACTGGTTTGTTTGTGTGATGTGTGTTAGATAAGAACGGCTAAACATTCTTATATAGAAAATTATATTTGGGGTAATTAGCAAGCCTATTTAGATAAAATCTATCTCCCTCCCCTCTTATTAAAGTGTATAGATCTGCCATTCTTAATATTTAGTGGTAACTTACTATGTGCTTATTACTATACTCTGTGTTTTCCATGCTTTATTTCATTTTTATGAATTTCTACTGAAAACCACCATGTTTCTTCATGTATTTAATCATAAGGAAATAAAACTATAAATGCAAAATTATTTGGCTATTTATTGAGTTGGTCATCACCTTTCCAGTTATGAGAAAAAAAATTAAAACTTAAAAACTACCCAAAAGCTTCACTGTTAATGAAGAGCCTGATGCAGGGCTCAAACTCATGAACCTGGGTTGAAATGAATAGTTGGTCGCTCAACCAACTAAGCCACCCAGGCGCTGCTGCATAATCCATTATTAATGAAATAATAACTCAATAAAGAAATATATGTGCATTTTTACCATTTTTATATAACTATATATAAATATTCATACAGATACACACATACAATCATATGTGCACACAGGACAAATTCTCGAAGAAATTTCATAGGGGAAAAATTCTAGAGAGAAATATACTTAAATGTTAATAATGAAAATCTTTACATGCCTAAGATATGAGTGTTTTATTTTCTTCTTTTTGCTTGTCTGTAGTGTGTCATTTTCTATAAATAGCAATTGTAATGAGAAAACCTGTTATAAAATAGTTAAGTTCTCATTGATTTATTTACAAAATAGTACGTTGCTTTAAAAAGTAACATGTGTCAATAATCCATGTCATATACTAAGTGCTATACACATCATCTCATGCCATCTTCTTAATGATCCTATGATATAGTCTTTATTTTCCTTATTTTACAGGTGAAAAAATATACTGATCCGTAACTTGCTCATAATTGCACAGCTAGTTAATTACAGGATCAGGAATTTGAACCCAAGTCTTTCCAGTTCAGACTATATGCTCTTATTCATTATTCTAACCTCATCTAATGTTTGCAAAAGTAATATATGTAAGTATCTGCTGGATTGCATTCTGCCATTTTGATTTTCACTTACTTGGTGAGAGCGCTCGGTGATGGTACAGAGGGCCCTCTCCAACTGCAAGAATAATGCCATCTGTTCTTATGGTCAAACACCTCTATTCTCTCTTTCCGGGGTCCAGAATTTCTATATTATAACCCAACTATTTTCCATGCCAAGGAGCATAAGCAAAATGAATCATC